AACTCAGTTACTTTTTGGGAGAAGTAACTAGTTACTAGTAACTAGTTACTTTTATTGTGGAGTAACTCAGTTAGTAACTCAGTTACTTTTTGGGAGAAGTAACTAGTAACTATAACTAATTACTTTTTCAAAGTAACGTGCCCAACACTGTTGGTCAACTATTCATCAAATTTGTGTTGACGGCAAAAGAAATCATCAGAAGCAAGCAGGTGTTCTTCAAATTGCAAATGTGAATTGTCTATGCTATGCTACAATGTCTGATTCAGAAAAAGATGTTGAAATGTCTAAAAGGTCAGACACAGGCAAGAGCGTATCGGGAGACGGAGACGGAGACCAACCGAACCTCCCTCATCCTTGGCCCTATCTCAGAGAATTTTTCGAATAGTTGAAAAATTGAGCTTTCAATTTATATAGTGGCATCTGGCTTTTTTTTTTAAAGGTTTAATTTATAGTTTTATACTTTTAGTAGTTTTTGGAGCACATACTTTTTCACTTTTACTTGAGTAAAGAGGTCAAGTTGATACCTAAACTTTTACCAGAGTGTTTTTAAACTGCACTATCTATAATTCTACTTAAGTAACAAATGTGTGTACTTTTGACACCACTGGTTGTGTAAAATTAAGTATAATTGTTAACATTGGCTTTTCTTTCTCTTTTCTGTCAGAATGTGGTAAATGTGGTTACTTCAGAGTATAACAGGGAACAGCTATGGTTAGCCAATGAAACCTTCGTCATCCAGCTGCAGGCAAAGATCAGAGGTTTCTTGGTCAGAAAAAAGCATTCACAGAGAATGGAGTATCTACGGCATCAAGAGCATCATGTAGTTAAACTCCAGGTAGGAAATATCTGACATTACTTCTTTTACCCTTTTAACATCTTCAAATGTTTATTGACCAGATGATCAAGATCATATTTGTTTTGTGTCCTTTAGTTTTAATATAGAAATAATAGAAACAATATATTTACAGTAGAAGTTAATCCACCATGGACATGGTGTTTTTGAGTGAAATCACTGTTCATCAATCAGTCAGTTTATTTGCCCATTAAACATTTGGTATACAAGTTTCAATACATATTTGATCTGATATAGTGAAGATTATACTTCCAGGCATAAAGTATGTATATTAATACTTATATTTGGTTAAATGTCCCTCAACAAGCAGAGCTGGACTTCTGAAAAGATTCTAACAGAATTGTTCTTATAACAAAAGGCTTTGGATCAGAAATGCCTTTTAAATTAGTTAGTTTTCTGACATGGACATCATCAGGCCATTTAATTTCTGAGCTTTAATGTTATCCTAGTTTGGGTGTATATTTTTGGTCACTGCACCATGAAAGCTTCAGATGTCTGTTTTTAACATTTCCAGATGTTGATTTGAGCTGGTGGTGAAGAATTTGGAGGAAGTCCTTGTTTTTTTTTTTATCATTCCATTCACTTGTTATAATTACAAAGTGACTTCCACCTATAGCTTAAACTTGCACATGATCTGAATCATTAGCAAATTTCAATGAATTGCTGTTCAGGTTATCCTGTACAAAGACAGACAGACAAACACACATACAAACCCAACTGAAAACATACATTAATTAAACATTTACTGCAGTCTTTTCGGTGGTAAATTCTATGGACATTCCCTGGATTTTTTTATCTCTTGAAAAGTAACCTTACCAATGAAGACATGTAAATTGTTCAAATATGGGTTAAATTTTAAGGAAACTAATATAAATTTGACAGCCTTTGTTTACCACTTCACCCTTTTACTCTATGCTGAAGTAGAGCTGTAAAAGTCTGAGTTGTTTAAGAAGATCTTAACCAAATTGTCTTTGCTCTAAGGTTGACCATTTTTATTGACTAAATTTGGTCATTGGTTGGCTTTGCTTACAGGACATTGGTCCAAGCAAAAAAAAAAAAAAAAACTGCACTTCAAAAGGAAAAAGCCAGGCTTCATTATTTTTCTGTCAAATCAGCATCTCTACTGCTAAAACAACCAATTTAAAAAGAAAGATGTTGACTAAATCTGTTTGTAAGAGGGGTTTGAAGATGAATCATGAATTATACCTTTAATGTAATTTGTCAGAATTGATTGAATTATTTTTAACGATCAGTTTACATGTGGAGGGCTGATCTGTCATCTGTTAATCTCTCCTTCCTGATGCACCCGTGGGCTTTTGAAGCATTTATAAATGTAGAGCAATTGTATTTTAAAGTTGTCTAAATGTGAGTTTATGTGATTAAAAGAAGACAAAATAAGAGTATAACACCTGTTGAAGGAAACCTTTAAAGGGATTATTTCTGCCTGTGCAAGTTCACCAACCGATGCTGTGATGCCTTTAACCAAACTGCAGTATTTTAAAGCTTCTCTCTCTCTTTTTTAGGCTTGCTGGAGAGGTTATAGACAGAGGAGAATCTACATAGCGCGGATGAATTTGCTTCAGAAAAGTGTTGCTTCTGTGGTCAAGGTGATTATTGCCTTTTAATATAGTTCTCCTTCTTTGTCTTTAAAATTGCAGCTGTTCTTAAGCAACTGCTAACCAAAATTAGATTGCTGTGAAGTGTTATTTGTAACTAATAATCATAATACATTTTATTTCAAAGGAGCCTTTCTGGATCCTCAAGATCACCATACAAAATATAAAAACAAACTGTTAGTCATATAGTCTGTATACATAATTCATGCAACAGTTTATTTTTCTGATCCTTAGATCCAGTCTATAGTGAAAATGTGGAAAGCAAAACGGAAATACAGTCAAAGGTTGCAGTTCTTCCGAGACCATGTGAGTTATCTGTTCTATCCACAGACATGTCTTTGAAAGATTGCCTTAAATTTCTCATGATCCTTTCACCAATCTATCGTTTTTAGGAAAAAGAAATTATAAAAATCCAGGCTTTCCTGAAGGCAAATAAAGCAAGAGACGATTACAGGACCTTAAGTAAGTCTAAAAATCATCTTTGACTTTTCTAATCACAGGGGTTGGTTGAGCTGCTTTAGTTAGGCTGTTATAATATGGATGTATCTTTGATATTAGTATAGATAAAATATTGATTTTATTGAAGGGTTTTATTAAAGTTTTAGATAAAAGGGAAAATATATGAATCTTTAAAATGTTTCTGTTTTATGCTATCGACTCCTACATGTTTTCCAACATTAAATTTAGTTAATCTGTGAATTATATTTTAACAGTTAAAAAACAAAGGTAGCTTATATTTGTTTTGATAATTATGTATCACAGTTGATTAACAGATCAAATTCTGTTTTTTTGTTTTTTTTCTGGGGAGATGACTTAAAAAAAAACATGCTTTAATGACCAAAGTTTGCTTCTATAGCTCATCTAAAACAATAATGGTTTAACAAAATGCCTCTTAGATAGAATTTTATAATAGTCGACACTACATGATCTAGAATAATTTATCTACAGTGCTAAAAGTTTGCTTAAAGTTGCAAAATTTGCAAAGACAGGCTCTCCTGTAAGAGTTGGTTTGTTGACCTTGAAGTAATGAAGCATAAAGTTGCAGCAGCTCAGACAGACATGATGGTTATCAAACCCTTAAGAAATGGTTTCACTGATTGACCAGTTAACGTACCTTACCTTAACCTTCAAACCCAGCAGAGTAGACCAGCTGAAGGCCACTATTAAAGTAACCTGGGCTCTCTAAACCTCAAAGCCACAGCCTGATCTCCTGCAGGCCATACTGCTCTGATCCAGGTGTTCATGCATTTGGGGTCTAAATAAGATAATAAATTAAATGATAAAGAATACCTTTCATTATTTCCATGTGATACTCATACTTTCTAAGTAATATAATTTTTTGTATTTACAATTTGAGATATATATCTATAGATAAAAGAAATCCCCCTTTTAAATATTAATTTCTGAAATCTAATTTCTAAGGTCTTCATATGCACTGGCACAGACCACTTTATCATCTGATTTGTCTGTGCTGCCCAGGATGTGAAAAACGTATCGGTGTAGGAGCAGTAAATGTTTGTCAATATGGTAAAACTAAACTGAGGTTCTGGTTTTTGACATGTAAGCTGGAGCCAGTGATCCTCCACTGTCAGTGGTCCGAAAGTTTGTCCACTTGTTGGAGCAGAGCCCCCGGGATCTGCAGGAGGAACAAGAGGTGACGCGTCTCAGGGAAGAAGTGGTGACAAAGATCCGCTCCAACCAACAGATGGAGAAGGACTTAAATCTGATGGACATCAAGATCGGACTGCTGGTTAAGAACAGGATCACCCTGCAGGTGGAGAACTTATGACATTTTTTTCCATTGTGAGTTTTTCCGAGTGCATCTGTTTGAGATGGAAAGGTTAAATATGTTCACCTTCTTCTGGTCTTCTAAACACTCAGGGGATGGGACTGGTCTGACCATGGTGCTCCTTATATTCCAGCTAGGATTCCCTGTTAATTTAGGGTTTGTTTCATTTCACAGGATGTTGTTTTACATAACAAGAAAATGAAGAACAAGAAAAATAAAACGAGTAAAGATGACCAGACTGCTGGAGATGGACTTGGGATCAAAGGCCTCAGTAAGGGCAAGAGAAGGAAGCTGGAGGCCTACCAACATCTCTTTTATCTGCTGCAGGTATAAAAGCTCTGCAGCAACAGTATTACAATTGAACCAAGAATTAGATCTTTCTGATTTTGAGCATTAGGACAAACTAAATCTCATTTTTTCCTGACATTTTTTCAGACCAATCCATCCTATTTGGCTAAGCTGATCTTTCAGATGCCTCAAAACAAATCAACAAAGTTCCTGGACACAGTGATCTTTACTTTGTACAACTATGCTTCCAACCAAAGGGAGGAATATCTGCTGCTCAGACTCTTCAAGACTGCGCTGGAAGAAGAGATTAAGTAAGAACTTGGTGGATATTAGAGCAAAATGTTAAGCAGAGCATCATTTGGCAGAATGATCAGAGCCTGATTGCATAAGTGTAGGCAGAGGAGTCATTTGACTGAAAACACGTGATAGAACAGAGGGTGATACAAAAAGGCTGTAGATCTGTATGCATAACTGTGAGGTGGTTTTCTGGATTAAAGTATAGTTCTGCTATTATTTCAAACCTATTCTCCTAAGGTCCAAGATCTCTTTGGAGTGGAACCTCAAGGATTGCGAAGGATAGATAGATGTGGTTTGGAAGAACAGGAGGAACTTTGCTAATATTTCTGAAAAAATGTGTGACATCATGTTAGCCTGAGCAGTCCTGTATAATATTGCGCAGCGCAGCTGGATTTAATTCAGAGCTTTGTGCTGAGGCTGTCAGGACAGATGGATAATATCCAACTAATCTTCAGTCTGACTGTTGAATAGTTCTGAGCTAAAACAACCACATTTTAACAATTGTGCAATTTATGTAAAAAACTATTTTAGATAAGATCTGTCATTTATTAGTGGCGCAATTTCTTTATGTAGTGAGCTTAAAAAAAATGGGAACAAATATTATGTTCAGCTTCCAGATTATCAACATCAAATTGTTCCATGGGATTGGCCTGTATATGCATTATTTCATAATCTAAACATAGATTATCATGTATTCTGCTTTAGTTTCATATAAACATTAGCTTTCCCAGAAGTGAACTGTAATTACATTTATTGAGATCTTTTAATATAAATAAAACCTAACTTATTCTTTATAAACATACAGATTCTATTTTTATTTGTTCTGGCATATTTGTGAATATATGCATAGTCTCTATCATTTCTCTTAATTCTCTGTCTTAGTTCAAAAGTGGATCAGATCCAGGAAATAGTGACGGGCAATCCTACAGTCATCAAGATGGTGGTGAGCTTTAACAGAGGTGCACGAGGTCACAATGTACTCAGGCAGCTTTTGGCCCCAGTAGTCAAAGATATCATAGATGACAAGAGTTTAAGCACCAACACCAATCCTGTGGAGGTGTACAAAGCCTGGGTCAACCAGCTGGAGACGGCGACCGGAGAGGCCAGGTAGGAGCAGAAACTACTGCTGAATACATTACTGACAGGGTTTAAGCTGGGATTTATTCCGTTTTAATGTGTGAATTCTCTTACAGTATTTGGAATATTTCAATCTTACCTTATCAGGAGACCAGTTTCTTACCATTAAAAAAATAATAATAATTTTGTTTCCATTGGTTTCCTTTAGCAAGCTGCCCTATGAGGTTACTCCTGAGCAAGCCATGTCACATGAGGAAGTACGTAACAGGCTGCAGGCTTCCAGTGTGGCTCTGCGGTCCACAACAGATAAGGTGTTGAACTTAATTGTGTCGTCGCTGGATAACATCCCGTAAGTTTCTAGGTTTAGT